CAGGAGGTCAGGTGAGCACCCACTAGCCAGCTACTGCTGAACCTATGACCATATTCTCCAAGCCTTACATCCATAAATTTACTTTGGGTTCTGCCAGGTATTCACTACCATGTATTCACTATCACTATGCAAATATGTCAGGTTGACTGCTTGAGTCAAATCCCATCTGCCCTGGCCATTTTTGTTTTTTTGCTAAAGGAGGAGTGGTCAGCCTGCAGTTCACATGGGTAGGGAGAGAGCCCAGAGAAAGAGAGAGGGACGAATGGATGAGAGGGGGGTCAGAACAGGTAGACTGATGTGAAAAGAATAGGGAAAGAGGAAAACCCTCGGCAAGCAACAGAGATCTGTCCCTCCACTATCAGAAAAAAAGAGCAAAGAAGGGTGACTGAAGAGAGAAAGGGTTGCTTGTTTTGCTCTGGCTTTGCACACTTCCAGCATGTAATCTGCCTAACCGATTACTCCCAAGGGAATGTAGCCTTCAATGGAAGAAAGACTTGCCCCAGTCCTGCTGTAAACAGACTGCAATTTGTGTTTATGTGCATTTCTGATAAAACAGTGTCAGGTTCTCTAAAATGAGCGCTTCCTTTCCAAGATCAGCACCTGTTTTGCGAATCAGCCAAAAGTCTGTTGAACTGACAACTTAAAATGGCCTCTTTTTATAAATAAATAAACATGTAGGTCATTTCTTTTCCCCCAAATTGCTTTGATACTCTATGTATCTGATGTATAACGGAATCGCTAAAAGCACATGTGCTACGATATTCCCCTCCCAGTCTGTAGTGAGGCAATATTGAGGAATTCAATGGCCTGATCCTTGCTTTAAGGAAGCAATGGTTCTGGCAGAGGCAACAGAGGCCCATCTTTTTGCAATTAGAATGAGCTCATTATTCATGATTCGCGGATGTGGACTGTGAGGAGAGGTCACTCCAGCCATGGAACCTCCTGACAAAAGAGAGAGCAGGTGAGCAAAAGCAATCCAGATTTTCTCAGCCAGCAAGAGAAGTTACACACACACAGAGCCAGATTATACACCAGACAGGAAGAGCTCAGTAGTGGTTGGCTGCCTGTGTCTTCCAATGCAAACATATTTCAGCACAGCAGGGGTAGCTCTTCAGATATTGTTGGATTCTAACTCTCACTACCCCTGACCACTGACCATGCTGGCTAAGGCTGATGGGAACTGGAGTCCAACATCATCTGAAGGGCTCCGTGTTTAGTCTAGAACATTATCAGTTTCTCACCTAAGACATGGAAGCCTGGAGAGCTGCCTGTCAGTGTAGACTACATGGAGTTAGAAGAACCAATGGCTATTGGGGAAGGACCATAGCTCAGGAATAGAGCACCTGCTGTGCACGCAGAAGGCCACAGGTTCAATCCTCAGCATCTCCAGGAAGGGCTGGGAGAGGTCCTTGTGAGTTACTGCCAGTCAGTGTAGACAAAACTAAGTGGACCAATGGTCTGACTTGGTATAAGGCTTCTTCTTACGTTCCCATGCATTTGCAAAGACTGCATTATTCAAGCATCCTTATGTTACCAGGATGCCCTGCTCCAGGATCTCTGAGTTAGCCAGTCAGGGATGATAGAAGTAGGATGGGTGTGTGTGTGTGTGTGTGTGTGTGTGAGAGAGAGATATATATATTTAGGAGGCACACATCAATGTAAAACAAGCAAAGAATTGAGTCATTTTTTAAAAGAGTGCTGTGATGCTTATCCTGGATTTTAATAATGTAATGAAAAAACAGTCCACTATTACAACCTATAATTTCCCCCCCTAACTCCACTCGCAGTGGGCAGGAAATCCTGTGAAGAAAACATTGCAGTGGAAAGATATGTCATAGTGAGTTGAGAATCCTGGAATATTTGATAAGGAATTGTGGCCACAGTGACCGAAAACCGTCTGGCCTTTAGGGAGAAAGAAGGTGACCCCTTCCATTCAGAAATAACATAAACAAGAATATGAATATGAATAGTCTAGCTGCTGGATCAGGCCAAAGGTCTATCTTGTCTAGCATCCTCTGCTCACAGCAGCCCACTAAATGTCCCAATGGGAAGCCTACAAGCGGGACGCAAGGGCAGAAGTGCTCTCCCCATGTGCAATTCCCAGCAACTGGGATTCAGAGGTGATACAACAGACTTCCTCTTTTGAGGGATATCCAGAAAGAGCAGCAAAGTCCTTTTTCCTAGAATGGGCACACAGTGGAATGTGGATCCCACAGGGAGAACTTCCTGTCAAACCTGCAGGAGCCACTCCTCCTGGGTGTGGCCAGGCAGAGATGTGTGTAACTTATAAAAAGGGCTGGTCCTGTATCTCTCTCTCTCTCTCTCTCTCTCTCTCTCTTACTCCATCTTGCTTGTTTGCCTTCATCACGCATCTTCTACCACTGCTTCTGATGCCATCATCCTATATACACACAAATGTACCTCCAGATTGCTACTGAATGTGATCTGTGAGTAAACACTATTTTATTCCAAAAAATCTTTTTTGTGTGTTGTTATGGTTTTAAGCGGGATAAAAGGGGGAAATACCTAGAAGAATCCAGGCTGCACCAAGGCATTCTGGTTGCTTCATCAAAAAGGCTGTAACCAGCTGAATCAACAGCTTCCTATTCTGCTGCAAAGGGATGCACTCTGCTGTACTCACAAACTTGAGTAAGGAAGGATAATATCTAACTAATATATCATCTCCTAGTTACCATACACTTTCCAACATCTGTGTTTAGATGTTAAACTGAAATGTAGTTGTCTGATATTCATTTTAGCAGAGAACTGGGCTATATTCCTTTGGTTGCTGCCCAATGTATTTCAGCTTTTGATTTTATCTATATTTTGATAATTTTATTATGTCCACTTGTTCTAAGAGTTTTATGTTTTAGATTATTTTATGTGAACCGCTTAGAGGTCTTTTATCTATTTATTCTTTTTGATTAGGTAGTATACAAATAAATGTTGAGAGAGAGAGATAGAGAGAGCGTGCACGCTGCTCTGCTTAAAACTTTGCAGAAAACCAATAAATACAATAAATAAACAGGTACCAAATGATTTGCAAATATGTCTGCAAAATCCAACCCTTTCTGGTCAACAATCACCCTAGAGGTATGCAGTTAATGCCTCCACCATCAATACACACACACAAACACAATTGCTGGCTTGCTTGCTCAATTTAACAGTGTAGTTCTGCTGTTCTAAAGCATTTGTCTCCCTTTACAATTGTTATGCAGTGGAGAAAATAAGAAGGTAGAAAGCTTCACTAAGCATTCAAGCTATGAGGGAGCTGGGAATCTGGGGAGGGTCAGGAGGTCGCAGACATTAAAAGGAAATAGGATTTTGTTTGTCCTTAATGGAGGACCTTATCCCCTCTGGATCCCTAGAAGAAGGCCCCATTCCCTGCCATTAGTTAGGAAAGGCTGGATGGAACACTCTTTGTTGAGCCTCAAAGACGCTCCCAGGTCAATTGCAGGGCAAGCGGCTCAGTAGATTAACATGTTCATTCTGCTGGCTGGCTACACACTGCCTTCCTGCTGAACTAGCAAGACAGCCTGCCTGGTTCATAGGAGTGTGTGTCTTGAAAAACCTCTGCAAACTGGTAGGGATAGGCAAATCATCCATTTCAGTTTCTCTGTTTTCCAGTATTAAGTTCAGGTCTCCACTTCAGGTTATAATATTTATTTTTTTAAGACCTTGTGAAAATTTGTCAGCATTTTACTGCAATTTTCTCCTAAGAGACATATTTTTAATGCAATTTTGTCTAATAGACACATTTTTGCAAGACAAATTCCCCAGCTATAGTGATTTTTTCTACTTTGTTTTCCCAAGTGTATGTATCTTTTATGTGCATTTTACTTTGGTTATATGCATTTCTGCACATATTATTGGGGTGGGAAACTGCATTGCAAAATTTGGAGAAGTGTAAATTTTGAAAGGTGGCTGTGTTCTGGTGTGCATGTTGTTTCAGAAAGTGCAAATTAGGCAGATTCATATTTAAATATGCAAACTTTATTAAATTTCTCTCTCATGCCCTTCCTTTCTTTTCCCTCTCCACTTTCCTTAGTCTGGCCTTCACATACAAGTTCATTCTAGGCTTATTTTTGTGAAGGTGGCACAATCATGCTTGGAAGACAAAGCAGTCAGAGTATTTTGATACATAACACCCTCCTTTCTCTTGCCTTTCATTCTCCTCCCCCTTTTGGAACATACCATTTTAACATTCCACTAACAAAGTACCTCAAAGGGCAAAGCAAGGATGGAGGTGGGGTTACTCTATTTCAGCAAACAATGGCAAGAATCTGCTTTACAGTCAAGGGTCGCAGACAGGGCCGTCTTAAGCATATCCGGCACCGTTGTGCAAATCTCTCCCCCCCCCCCCCCGTTTCCCAGAGTTGTCTGATGTACGCTCAGAGCTGCACGTAAGTTAGAGGTGCCCGGATCACAGCCCAGACGACCTCCCATCCTTGCCCGGTGCCGGGATTGCACAGGGCACTTCCCTGCTCCGCTCGCAGACTCCGCAGGGAGGCACACAGGCAGCAATGTAGCCAGAGAGGGGTGGGAGAGACATGCCCACCCCACGCCACCGCTGCCCCCCGATTGCACCCACCAGACACCCAGGCAGCCCCAGAGGGAGGGGACGCAAAGGGGCTTCCCTGAGACGGACACAGCGTGCTCCGATGGGCAGCTGAGAGGAGAGGAGCGGGCTGCCCCAGAGCGGGGAAGGGAGCGAGCCCTGACTCTCCTTCCCGGACACTCAGTCTGTGGCGCCCTCCAAAATTTGGCACCCTGGCGCCCTGCACCACTAATGTCTATGGGTAAGATGCCCCTGATCACAGACAGGAAAATACTTCTCAGGGCTGGGCCCCACTGTCCGAATGACCCAGCGTCTGAATCCGAAACCCAACAGGTACCTGCAAGCTCCTGGAAGCCACAGAACAACACACATTACAAATAGGGGCATAAACTGAATCACCATTTCCAAGCAGAAACAAAAAGCATCAAACAATAAATGGTAATTGTAGCTTAGTTGGCAGAACATCTGCTTTGCATGCAGAAGGTCCTAGGTTCAATCCCAGGCATCTCAAGGTAGGGCTGGGACTGACCCCTGTCTGAAACACTGCCAATAAGTGTATACAATCCTGAGCTAGACGGACTAAAAATATGGCTCAGTATTGCAGCTCTCTCTTCTCCTAATGTGCTTGTATTCATTCAATTCAATTGTTTTGGAGCAAATATACAGATCTGGGATAGTCAGTATAATGCCCTAAAGATTTTGTTGGCCTCCTACTCCTATCATGCCAGGCCAGCATTACTATTAGCCAAAAATGATAGGAGTTTCAGTCCAAAAAGATACAGAGGGCACCACATTGCCTACCTCTGATGTAGATAAATTTTGATATAGATAATTTTACTCCGCTATCCGCTCCAGATGTGTTCACATCTCACCAAAAGCTTTGTTACTTTACTTGGACAGTACATTTTGACCTCTATTTTGATTCACTGTTACAAGTGGAATTAGCCAGGGAACACGTTGACTTTGTGCTAATTGCTCAGTGTTTGCAGAAAAACACCAAATGTCCAATACTTTGTGCATTTATTTCATTGTTTAAATACGGCCAATATTTTTAAGAATTTCTGGCAGATCTGTGTCCTTCACTTTGGAGAGGTTCTATTCTAATGTTGCAGTGCTTCTTCCATTTCAACAGAAGTCAGTCAGGATAGAAATCAGCCAGTTACCTACTAGGAACATAGGAAGCTGCCTTATGCAGAGTCAGACCATTATCTACACTGACTGGCAGCTGTGACTCTCCAGAGTTTCAGAGTGGGGACACCACCAGCCCTACCTGAAGAGGCTGGAGTCTCAACATGGGACTTTCTGCATGCGAAGCAGTCATTCTACCACTGAGATAGTAATTTAACCCCATTAAAATATTAACTCTGATTGGTGCTCTCCTAACACATCATGGTAGTTAAGGCCCAGCATCAAGACAAGAAACAAGTAAAAAGAGTGGCAGCATGTTCCACAGGAAATAAAACATCCCCAAATGTACCAGTACTTTCTGGCACATCTGAACAAAGCAAGCTATGCCTTTGAACACAGGACTATCTGCAGGAGATCTGTCACTGACATCCCTAACACAGAGATGAGGAACATGTAGCCTTTGAGATGCCTTCTTAACTCCTATCAGCCCCTGCCAGCACAGCCAGTGGTTAGGGATATGATGTGAGTTGTAGTTCCATAGCACCTGGAGGGCCACAGGTTGCCTAACACTGCCCTAATGATGTAACAGCAATACACTTCCCTCTAGTGTTCTTCTTCCATATGGGGCTGCAATAAAACCAGGAGGGTGCCAGCTTACCTTTTTAGTCTTCACTGTTGAGGCACAACAGTCCCCACCATCATAGTTGCAAAAGGCTCGGTTATTGTTCCCATCACAATAGTTGTCTCCCATAAAAGGCTGAAAGAAAGAAGCCAAATTGAGACACTAATAATGATGGTGATGATGATGATTCAACCTATATCATGCCTTTACGAATCCAAGAACCCTGCTGGATCAGACCAGTGGCCCAGACCCTCCGGCATCCTGCTCTCACAGTGGCCAGCTAGATGCCCCAATGGGAAGCCTACAAACAAGACCTGGACACAACGGCACTTATCCCCCAGCAGGCCTTCTGGCTGATGGACAAGGCCTATTGGTCAATTACCTAGTGTCACTATTACAACCGGTGATTCATTTCACCTCTCCTGTGCTGCGCCACAAAGGTAAATCCATGCCCAGCCAAGCAGGGCTTGAAGTTGCCTTTGAATGGCTGATGGGTTCTGACTTCCAAATTCCACTTCTGCACGGCACATATTTAACCATGCAATTCACTCCCACAAATTGCAGTGGTGACCACCAACTTGGGTGGCTTGTAAAGTGGATTAGATAATAATAATAATAATAATAATAATAATAATAATAATAATAAATTTTATTTATATCCCGCCCTCCCCAGCCGAAGCCGGGCTCAGGGCGGCTAACAACAATAAAACAGTATAAAAGTATAGCATAAACAACACTCTAAAATCATTCATTATAAAATTAATTAATTCAGGCCACTGGCAACCATTGGGCCAGAGCTCCGCGAAGATTGCCGAGGGAGGGAGTCAGGCTGTGCCCTGGCCAAAGGCCTGGTGGAACAGCTCTGTCTTGCAGGCCCTGCGGAAAGATGTCAAGTCCCGCAGGGCCCTGGTCTCTTGTGACAGAGTGTTCCACCAGATCGGAGCCACAGCCGAAAGGCCCTGGCTCTAGTTGAGGCCAGCCTAACTTCTCTGTGGCCTGGGACCTTCAAGATGTTTTTATTTGAAGACCGTAAGTTTCTCTGTGGGGCATACCAGGAGAGGCGGTCCCGTAGGTACGAGGGTCCTAGGCCATATAGGGCTTTAAAGGTTAAAACCAGCACCTTAAACCTGATCCTGTACTCCACCGGGAGCCAGTGCAGCTGGTGTAGCACCGGGTGAATGTGATCTCGCAGCGAAGACCTCGTAAGGAGTCTCGCTGCAGCATTCTGCACCCGCTGGAGTTTCTGGGTCAGTCTCAAGGGCAGCCCCATGTAGAACGAATTACAATAATCCAGTCTGGAGGTGACCATCGCGTGGATCACAGTGGCTAGGTCAGGGCGAGAGAGGTAAGGAGCCAACTGCTTAGCTTGGCGGAGATAGAAAAATGCCGCCTTTGTTATAGCTGCAATCTGCGCCTCCATGGAAAGGGAGGTGTCGAAGATTACACCCAAACTCTTAACGGACGGTGCTGGCACTAATTGCGCCCCCGCAAGAGATGGGAGTTGCCCCCCCAATCCCATATCGCCCCGTCCCAGCCACAGGACCTCTGTCTTCGAAGGATTTAGCTTCAACCGGCTCCCACATAACCATCCAGCCACAGCTTCCAAACATCTGGTCAGTGTGTCTGGGGCCGAGTCAGGATGGCCATCCATCAACAGATAGAGTTGGGTGTCATCGGCATACTGATGGCAACCCAGCCCAAAACTCCGAACAAGCTGGGCGAGGGGGCGCATAAAGATGTTGAAAAGCATCGGGGAGAGTATCGCACCCTGAGGTACTCCACACACCAAGGAGTGGCGCGATGACAATTCCCCCCCAAGCGCCACCCTCTGTCCCCGACCAGAGAGAAACGAGAGCAGCCATTGAAGGACTGTGCCCTGGATCCCCATGTCAGCAAGGCGGTGGTCCAGAAGTTCGTGATCGACCATGTCGAAAGCCACTGACAGATCTAGAAGAATCAGCAGCCCCGACCCGCCTCGATCCAGCTGTCTACGAAGATCATCTGTTAGGGCGACCAGAGCCGTCTCGGTCCCATGACCAGCGCGGAAGCCGGACTGGAATGGATCCAGAGCCAATGTTTCATCCAGAAACCCGCCAAGCTGTTCAGCAACCGCTCTCTCAATCACCTTACCCAGGAACAGAAGATTCGAAACCGGGCGGTAATTGGATAGATCTAAAGGATCTAATGATGTTTTCTTTAAGAGCGGGCGCACCACTGCCTCCTTCAGTTCCCCTGGGAATGTCCCCGTGCCAAGGGACAAATTGATGATATCCCCAGGAGGGCCCACACCTCGTCTGGACACGCTCTAATCAGCCAAGACGGGCACGGGTCGAGAGGACAGGTGGTGGGCTTTCCAGCTCGGAGGAGTCTGTCCACATCGGCTGGGGATATCCGGTCGAAGTGGTCCAATACTGGACCCGAGGACAGTCGAGGGGCCTCCAGTTCCTTTATTGTATCCAAATTGGCAGGGAGGTCATGGCGGAGCAACAAGACCTTCTCCGCAAAAAAGCTCGCAAATGCCTCACAGCTAAGTGTCAAATTGTTATTTAAATTTGGCTGTCCCTCAAGGGACGTTAAAGACCTGATTATACTAAATAATTGCGCTGGGAGAGAGCTAGTGGATGCAATGGAGGCTGAGAAGTATGACTTCTTAGCAGCCTTCACCGCCATCTTGTAGGTTTTCATAAAAGCCCTATAAGATGTTCTTGAGGCTCCGTCACGGGCACCCCGCCATACTCGCTCTAGCCGTCTGAGGTCCCCCTTCATTTTCCGGAGCTCCTCGGTAAACCAGGGAGCCCGGTTTCTGCGGGGTCGCAGAGGGCGCTTAGGTGCGATCTCATCGATGGCTGCCAGGAGCTGGGTATTCCAGCCTCAACAAGCTCAGTCAATGAGTCGCCAGGGGGAGCAAGGTCCCGCAAGGCTTGGCGGAATCTATCAGGGTCCATCAGCCTCTGCGGGCGAGCCCAAATTGGCTTGCCACCTAAGCAGGGTCGGGGCGGAAAGTCAATCCTGGCTTTCAGAGCGTAGTGATCAGACCATGGCACCTTCATCGAAGGAGACATGATCACATCTATACCTACGCCAACGATCAAATCCAGCGTGTGGCCTGCTTGATGTGTGGGGCCCGAAACAAACTGGGAGAGCCCTAGTGTCGGAGGGGAAGGCTTTCAATAACTACTAGCTATAATGATGTTCCATGTCCAAAGTTGGAGGCAGTATGCCTCTGAATGCCATTTACTAGCATTCAAAGGTGGGGAAAGCGCTGTTGTGCTCAGGTCCTACTTGCAGGCATCTCACTGGGGCACCTGGCTGACCTAGTGAGGACACAATGCTAGGCTAGATGGATCTTTGGCCTGATCCAGAAGCAGGGCTCTTCTTACGCACTTACAACACAGTTGGCTGCTTGCACAAAAATCACACCATTTCATTGTTTCTGCATGAAACTGTCCTGCCTGCTGCTGTTTTTGCAGGTGGGGGTCACTTAATTGCATCCCACAGTTCCCATTATGTGACCATTAGGGCTCTCCTGTTCCGCTAATCCTAGATGGAGACACACGCTGTCCTTTCAGAAGAAGAAACTGTCTCTGGAAAATGAAGTAGGGAGCTAAAAGCAGCCCTTGTTTTGTTTGCAGCTAATTAATTGTGTGGGGTTTTGTTTTGTTTTTTAATAGCAGGAGAAATAAAACATAGGGACATCTGAAGAACAATCAGTGAGGACATTTTGGCACTCTTTCCTTTCTGTGGAGCCAAGGTCAAGCTCATAAATATTTCAAGGGGACACTGTGAAACATTTTAGACCCCATAAGTTTTTAAATCACAGTTATTCCCCTCTCTCCATACGCAAACTTGCCCTTGAGGGGCTAGAGGGGAGCATCAATGCCCTTCATTGAGTATCATGACAGGAGAGCTGTCAGCTTGCTCATTGTAAATTTCTAAATTCCTCTTTATTCATTGATGGACTCTAGGGCACTGTACAGCAACACAATACAGTGGTACCTCGGGTTAAATATGCTTCAGGTTACAGATGCTTCAGGTTACAGACGCTTCAGGTTACAGACTCTGCTAACCCCAAAATAGTACCTTGGGTTAAGAACTTTGCTTCAGGATGAGAACAGAAATCGTGCGGCAGCAGTGCAGCGGCAGTGGGAGGTCCCATTAGCTAAAGTGGTGCTTCAGGTTAAGAACAGTTTCAGGTTAAGAACGGACCTCCAGAATGAATTAAGTTCTTAACCCGAGGTACTACTGTACAGTAGAAGAGAAACCGAAACAGCAACAAAACTCTTCCACAGGCCCATCTAGTCCAGCATCGTGTTCTCACACGGGTCACCCAGATGCCTCTGGGAGGCTCACAAGCAGGACTTGAGTGCAACAGTGCTTTCCCCACTGGTGACTCCCAGCAACGGGCATTCAGAGGTTTGCTGCCTCCAACAGCGCAGGGAGAAAATAACCAGTGTGGTTATTTTCCATTGATAGCCTTTGCTGCCATGAATTCATCTGATCTTTCTTCAAAGCCACTATTACTGCATATTTTAGAAACCAGCTTAAAATGCCTGAGATAATGGCATCAAATGAATCACAGAGCCATTCTAGGGAGTGTGTGCCAAAGCCGGGATGCCACCACAGAAAAGATCCTCTCCTTTGTGCATACATACCAGGCTTCCCCAACTGATGGTTGTCAAAGAAGGGCCTTGTTTAAGGATCTTACTGCACAAACAGGATAATACAGGAAGAAGTGTTCCTTCAAGGTATCTAGGTCGTGAGACCTTTAGAACCTTAACGGAGGAATAGGGAAGTTGTGATCCTCCAGCTGTTGTTGTATACCAATTCCCACCATCTTTGGCCTGCAGGCTGGGACTGACAGGAACAGAGGTCAGAGAAAGCTTATGCTGAGTCAGACCAATGGATTTTCTTGCTCAGCACTGCCTACACTGATTGGCAGCATCTCTCCAGGATTTCAGAGAAGGGCCTCTCACACAGCTCTACCTAGCGATGCCATTGGGGAATTGAACCATGGGACCTTCTACGCACAATGCAGATGCTCTACCCCTGAGTTATTGCCCCCCCCATTAGAATGGAAGTCCAGCAGTCTCTGGGGGCCATAGGTTCCCAACCCTGCTTTAAACATCAACACTTGAATCAGGCTCAGGGACGAGTAGGCAGCCAATGTCATTCTTTCAGAGTTGGTATAATATAGTTTCACTTAGCTTATTCAGAATCCAAGCGGCCAGATTCTGAACTAAATTAAACTTTTGAATAATCTCAAGGGGTTCATGCCTTTTAGAAGTTCATAAATGAAGAAGGGGTCTCAGGCATATTCCAGTCTTGGGCATACTCCTGTTGTCAAGGATAAACGTCCAAGTCCTTCAACCCAACCCACAAATACAGATGATTGTAAAATTATGATTTTTATGTTCCACATTATCTTCCCAAGATGACAAACATATGGTTCTGAAGCGATCACCCAACCAGGAACTTACCAGAACCAGGCCTGATTAGCTTCATTAAAGTGGTTATTTCATGTGCTTACAAACCACACCTTGGAATATGACTCCTGGTTTGTAACCAATCTATGGCTTGCTTTATAAAAACCATACTTTACTGTGTTTTGATGGAATGGGAAACTATGGTTTGATGGTTGGACAATTTCTTAAGTTGCAAGGAAAGGAGAGGAAGAAGGAAGGGAAGAGGGAGGTAGGGAGATCTCTTCTGATCTCTCTCCATGAGCTTGGAGCAGACTTCTCCAAGCTGGTTCCTTACAGATGATGTCAGACAACAACTCCTATAACACCCAGCCAGCATGACCAATGGTCACAGATGATGGAAGCTGTAGTCTGAGAACATCTGAAGGGCAACAGCTTGGGGAAGACTGGCTAGGAGGATCATTTGAATACATTCACATGTGTACACCTTGGCATCTTTTGATTGCACATTGTTGTGTGGTTGTTGTTTGCCTTCCTCCAAGGTGCTCAGAGCTCCATCTTTCACACCCTCATCCCTTTTCTTTAGCTTTGCAATGACTTTAAGCAAACATAGGAGACCTACTGGAAAATTCACACACATACCCTTAATCAAATCTTGTAGCTGTACCAGGGAGTGAAAATAACACGTCTTGGCCAAAACTATGCCTGTATGCACATACACACCTCAAGAGCGAGTGAGCTAATTTCAAGGAGATGAGTTAAGTGCAAAGCGTAAACACAGATCTATTAATGGAGCAGTGAGACAACTTCTAATCATAGGTATTAAGATTCTCTTTCATCTCTTCCTCCCTTTCTTTTCAATCCTCTGCTTCCTATATACGTGGTCTTTTCTCTAAAGGGGGGACTGGAATTTGTTGCAGGTAATTTTTAGTTCAAGGAAAAGTGTGAAATGAGTGATGTAAGTGTCACCAGAAAGCTCTAAGGTGAGAAGAGGTAATAAAGAAAAGAGAAACAGTGGGGGTTATTTTTTAAGAGTTTAAGGTTTTTGAAGACACTGGATTTTGGGGAAAGGCTGTAGCTCAATGGCGGAACATCTGCTTTGCGCACTGAAGGTTCCAACTCTTGGCATCTCCAGGTAGGGCTTGGAATGCCTCCTATCTGAAACCCTGGAGAGCCACAATACCGAGCTATATGGTCTGACTTAGTGGATGGCAGCTCTCTATGTTCTTATTTAAAATCAGCTCTGAAGGCCGGAGTCTTAATTTATTATAAGGCAAATGGTCATAGCTCAGTGGTAGAGCATCTGATTTGCATGCAGAAGGCCCTAGGTTCAATCCTTGAGATCTCCAGGTAGGATTAGGAATGACTTAAACTCTAGACCAGTAGTTCCCAATTAGGGGTCCAGGAACTCCTCGGGGTTTGTGGAACGCACTAGGGGGTCTGCGGCCCCATCCCTTGCCTCCTCCCCAACTAATTTTTTGTCATTTTTGCATCGTAATATCACAAATTTTATGGTCTGTTTTAGCACGGTGCAATTTTTCAATATATTGGCCAAAATAGGTTTTGAAATCACATCACGGTAACGATTTTGACCCAGCAATACAGTGGTACCTCAGGTTACAGACGCTTCAGGTTACAGACTCTGCTAACCCAGAAATAGGACCTCGGTTTAGGAACTTTGCTTCAGGATGAGAACAGAAATTGTGCAGCGGTGGCATGGTGACAGCGGGAGCCCCATTAGCTAAAGTGGTGCTTCAGGTTAAGAACAGTTTCAGGTTAAGAATGGACCTCCAGAACGAATTAAGTTCTTACCTCGAGGTACCACTGTACACAGCAATATAGCACACCTCATGCGAGGGAGAGCAGAGCAGCCGATTTCAAGGCACTGCCAACATCACACAATGATCTCTGTGGCAAACACTACTGATCTTACAGCTAAGGCCTTCCCTCATGCTGAGGGAGACCAGGGCAGCCAACAGCAAGGTGCTGCCTTCCCCTCACACTGACAGAGAACAGTATCGCCCATACTTCAAGGCCCTGTGGCACTGCCTTCCCCTGGTGGAGCAGCTATTCTCAGTCAGCAGGAAAGCAGCAGTAGCAGCCACAGTGGACTTGCAACTTTGCTGGCTGCCACCACTGGCTGCCCTAGCTTGATGGTCCCCCATCCCCATCGCCTCCCCCTCAAACCATGTGTTGGAGTGGCTCCGCTTTCTCTCCTCTCCCCACCCATTTGATCTCCACAGTTGCTCCTTCCCTCACCCCCATGCCTGATCTCTAATTTCAGACACAAGGAACTAACTCAAGGAGCTCGAACTTGGTCCAGTAGCAAATTGGCAACCAGTGCAGCTCTCTCAGCTGGCAAGTAACATGTGCCTAGTAGCTTGCTCCTGCGAGCTGCCTGGCCACCACATTCTGCTATAGCTGCAGCTTCTGGATCACATACAAGGGAAGCCTCATGCAAAGTGCACTGTGTACTCAACAGCGTTTCAATAGGAACAATGAATTCCTCTTGCTAGGACAGGGGTAGGGAGCTGGATCTGCCCAGTGGGTCAGATTCTTATCTCCTGAACCCCTTGCAGGCAAAGTTTGACATCATTTAAGGTTTGACATCATTACACTTTGCGGGGGGGGGGGGGTTTGCCTTCAGAGATATTGTAGAGCATGCTTCAAGGGGATCCACAAAACTCCACAATCAGCTGATGCATCTTATTAATTAGTGAGCCAGTGTAGTGAGCCAGGTGAAGAGCGGTGGACTCATAATCTGGTGAACCGGGTTCGATTCCTCGCTCCTCCACATGCAGCTGCTGGGTGACCTTGGGCCAGTCACACTTCTCTGAAGTCTCTCAGCCCCACTCACCTCACAGAGTGTTTGTTGTGGGGGAGGAAGGGAAAGGAGGTTGTTAGCCGCTTTTAGACTCCTTAGGGTAGTGATAAAGCAGGATATCAAATCCAAACTCCTCCTCCTCCTCCTCCTCCTCTTCTTAGTATTGCTTGGTTTAACGCACACATGCACACATATGCAAGAGTTGGCTCATGGATGCTCACCTCACAACCCTTGATGCAGTGGATCAGTGCAGGATGAGGATACCACTTGAGTTCAGCAGTGCAGACAACGTTCTAGATGGAGGAAAGGAAGCATGGAGACATTAGGAACAGAAGGAACTGTCTTATATCAAGTCAGACTCACTGGTCTATCTAGCTCATTACAGCTATGGGCAAAACTTTAAAAAGCTCACAACTGTGCCCCAAACCATGTCTGGATTTTCACTTTTTAAATATGGCAACCCTGTTCCTGGAGATTGAACCTGCGGTGGTCTGCATACAAAGCAGGTGCTCTATCAACTGAGCTACAGCCACAGATGGCACAGCACATTTCGTTAGGGTGTGTGTGCACCCTGGGATTTTTTAAAGTGCAAACATTTATTGAGTACATACTCATACTAATACAGGACATCATTTTTATTCATCAGAGTAAAAAGACTAAAACTTAATGAAACTTAAATAAATCAACAACTAAACTTTACTTTTTAAAAAAATGCAAACTTTAAAAATGAGACACAAAAGCAAATTTTTGCTGTACTGATAAAAAGGTGTACACAAAAATATAGTCCATTTCATGATCTTTATCTTTAACCATATGATGAGTGAACCTAATATGGGAGAATATGAAATCCTTCCTAGGCTTGAGTGACTGAAGAGCTCTGTGAAAGTCAAAGGCTTGTGTATGCCATAGCTGCATTCATGGAACATTTGAAAATCACCTTGAGGCAAACATAAAATGTGAAGAATTATTATTATTATTATTATTATTATTATTATCATCATCTGTCAGGCTAGACTGTTCAGCTGATGTATCAGAATGAATAAACTGGAATACATGTTAATTGACTAAAGAAGTCAATTAAGTGGGCAGCATTATGGTAGGGGAGGAACTCCCAATTTGAATAAAAGGGTCATCTGAGAAGAAGGTTCCCCTCCTGTGTGTGAGAAAATTGGGGCACCGTGTTTAAGAGGAGGCTTCCTGTGATACACATGTGCATCACCTAAAAAAGAAGGAATGCTTTTCTAAAGTTAGCACCATTTTTCATCATGTGCAAATTGATGTAGATTGATGTAGTGTTGTCCAGCGGCGTAGGAAGGGGGGTGGGGGCGGACCACCCCGGGTGCCCTCACTGAGGGGGATGACATTCGGTGCGCCGCCTACCCACGATTCCCAAGCCTACCCCGAGCCATCGGGGTAAGGGGGGAGCTGTGCCGCTTTGCTGGCGGGATTCCCCCCTTCACCCTTCATTTTGACAGCTTGGGAGTTGGGGGCTGGCACGCCAAATGTCTACCATGGGTGGCTTGCTCCGCCCCTGTGAGCAGCTTGCTCCCTCCCCCCCAGCTGCAGTGCACGCACGCCGCTCCGGACACTCGAGCGGCTATCTAGTGCCTGGAAGGGCACCCTCCATGCCATGCCCCCTTCAGGATCGCACCCGCCCTGGGCAGCGCAGGCATATGCTCCACTGCTGGTGTTGTCTCTAAGGTTAGTTCTTCTTAGAATAGATCAACTGAAATTGATGGGCGTAGCTAATATGATGTTCAAGACATAAGGCAGTAAAATCCTGTTAGCGTCTCTCCCCATTCTTGTCTGTAATAATATAATACGTAAGTAAGTAAGTAGTACTTTTACTTCTGTGCCCCTCTTGTTATGTATCCTTTGGGATACGCACACGGCAAACCCGGAAGTATATTTCCAGGTTTTGCCATGTGCGTATGTGCAGAAGTGCTTTATCGTGCCGTGCGCGCGCGCACAACAGGAACCTCCGGTTGCAGAAACCTCAGGATCCGACCAGAGCTCCGGGACGGATTCTGTCTGCAACCAGAGGTACCACTGTACTAATAATGTGCTGTCGTTTAATGACACCCAAAATCAGCTGCCTGAGGTCACGACTTCCCTCTGCCTAATGATAGGGCTGCTCCTGTACCTGAAGATCACTCACTAGAAAAACCTAACATACCTCAGAGGGTATTGTAAAGTTCACCACCACCCCTGGGGTGGGTGGGGAGGGACAAATAAAGGAACTGAGCACTCATCTAGAGCTTCTGAGTCACTCTATTTTTTGTTCTTCTCCATGGCCTGATGCGCGACATCCAAGGGTACTAAGGGAGCTTGTGGGTGTAATTTCAGAGCCTTTGTCTATGATCTTTGAAAATTCTTGGAGAACAGATTGAACCGGGGAGAACAGAATGAACTTTGCATCTGCATGCAAAGCAGATGATCTACCATGATCTACTGCTCAGCTATGGCTTTTTCCTTAAGAGACAGTAACGTAGAAAGCTGACTTTCATGGAGCTCAGTATGGTCTATGCTGGCTAACAGGATTTCATACACTTGACATTCCCAGTCCTACCAGGAGTTGCCAGGGAATGAACCTGTGGCGACTTCTGAAAAGTGGATGCTCCTCCACTGAGCAACAGGATACTGAGAGACAGGATACCATTTTATCAAGCTATTTCATGGCAACACACTGGTGGCATTTATTTTGCATGTGTTCAGTCTCATCAGGTTTTTACGAAAAGTGTGGTGGTCTATGCACACACACATACATTACCCTTTCCCCCTGCTAATTCTGAAGGCTAATTTAATCTGTCTGTGGGGAAACCTTGGTGTGTTTTTACAGTTTCGGTCATTTGAGGCTTACCTGGTATGTGCTAGAAAAAGGACTTTTATACTATCTGCACAGGGCTGTTTATCTTTCCGATGCACTCGGATTTTCCACTATTACTCAGGGCCCAGATTGCTCCACCTGTCTTGCAACAGGCCTGGTCTGTGTGAAATGGAAGGGAAAGGAGTCTGGGGAAGGCCGGGCAGGGGGGCGGGGAGGAGGAGAGCCCCGTGCTGTTTATTTGCTGAGTGAGCGAGAAGACTGCAAAATTCAGCAGGGGCCCCCCTTTCTTGGGTCAGATGCCTTCCCAATTGAGTCCTTGACAACCCTCTGGAAACTGAAGGGCCGGTGCTTGCCACAAACAGGAAGATAGTATTTCATTTCATTTCAATCTCTTATTTACTGCAAGATGAGGAATAGAGGAGCATGTTCTTATTTTTAATATTTGGAAAGATTGATGAAGTCATCAAGATGGGCCTCAGGATAATGAGAAGCAGGAAAAGCAACAGATTCTATCCCCTGAACCCTTAGGGCAAACCAGCTTAGAGGTGCCAATAATTCCTCTCACCTTATCTGGTGGGCGGTGTTGCAGCCAGAGCATGGGCCCTGCAGTGATCTGGTGAGGGGGGCGGGGTTTAACTGACCGCCTACTGGCGATTGACCTGAGCCCGCAGGTCTTGGATGGGCTTTCCCTGGGGGCA